AGCAGCGGTTAGTGAAGCTCGTCGAAAACGACTGTTTCGATCCTTAAAATGATTGTTTTGTAGGGCCCATCAACACTGTTTAGAGAAACGAGGATAAATAAAAGTAATGATATATTCTGTATGCATCAGAAGTAGTTCTTGGAACTAGCCGCTACAGTTTTAGTCGATTTTGTAACATTGTATGGATTCTTTTTAATTTGGATCAATTACGCAAACAAGTTCATTGATTTTCAAGGTGAGGTGATCAAGAGTTGTCCTGAATAGAGAATAAATTAACGACAAAGTGATCTCAGAAATGGTTTCTTGTCTAAATAATTATTGACCTTTGAAATTCATTGAAGTGAAATAAAACAACAGCTTATCCAATCTAACCATGAACTTCAGGCGCCAATTAATCTCTCGATTCTGCACGTTTCTCAATTTCCCACATGGTGACCTTTTATAATTTAAAGAGACGATATTACACACTAGTACTGTGGTCAGCCAGCCGAACGACTATATACGCGTTTCAGGCACAATCGTGCACATCTAAGATCTTTCGTCCAAGCTGGTGGATATGTCAGTGTAACAACTTACTCTTTTACAGATCGACAACTCCAACAAGATACGATAATGTAATTTTTTCACATTACCAATATTTATGAATGGCTGTTTCATTTCGTGCAAAAAATTAAATTTATTGCATCGCAACAGCTTTTTTTGTTTATTTAGTTATTCAGCAAATAATTTACCACCTCTCACTGAAATTTAGTCTCCTCTTAAATAGTGCAAAAGGAATGTTTACATTTACAACAAATTTGCATAGAGGGCAAAAACTTGAATAGAAATGAAGAACATTGCGACTGCATTAACTTATTTGCCTCTTTCCTATCACTGTCGTCATAAAATGTATTCATACTTCATTCAAAACAAATAACTACATTAATGTTAAAAACAAACAAAGCAAAACAAAAAAAATTAGTCTCGCTGCGGTATTGACAAACTACCAGTGACTCCTCTTCAGTTTGAGAGGCTTTTACGTGATTCAGAAGAGACTTGCAGTAAACTCAGTCGTTTGGCCAATGTGATGAGTAAATAACAGGATTGGTAGCGAAAAACATGGGTCAATTTGTGGCCTAAGATTTACAACTTTAGCTATCTATAATTGTGATGGTACTGAGGCTAGTGATAAGGATAATTTGCTACTTACTTATAAGATTTTCAATGTTCAGCTGGTACTTATATTTCACTCTTCCAATTTTTATCCACGCATACTCAGCGTTAACAGTTGTGTCATTAGTTACTCCCATATCTACGCAAAGGTTGTTTTCTAACTTATTTCCCGTCAAGCGGCGGATCTTTTCCAATCCAAGCCAATATTTGCCAATGAGGAAATTACCGAAGCCATGTTTGTAGTCATCTCAGGTGTGGTTGAAATCAACAAAGCCATTCAGCCTCTACTGTATCACTGTCCATCCTCAACCAGCTGTTGTCTGCTCGCAATATACATCAAAGGGAACTTTGTCATCAGGATAGATTGTATAAACACCGCTGATTCTTTGACCGCCTTTGAAAACCTCGGCACAGTTCCTGACTGTTCAGAAAATAATGATGATTAAAGTTTGAATAAGTAGTAGTGAAAAGAAGGCCTGGAAAAAATTCAGGCCTGTACGGGATTTGAACCCATGACCTCTGCGATACCCGCACCAACTGGGAGCTGGTTACTGTGTTGGTTCCAAATAAACCCGTGAAGTGGTGAATAAACGTGAGGCCTGAATTTTTTCAGGCCTTCTTTTCACTACTACTTAAGTAGTGTTCATTACTGCGAAGGTCGCTTTCAATTCAATTAAAGTTTGGTTGGTTTGATCAAGAGCAACAGAGAAAGAGCATGAAACATGAGCATGAAATTTCAAAGAAAGACAAACTCGTAGAGGTCAAGTAAAAGAAACAAACAGCGAGTAAATAATTAGCACTTTTTAAATTAGAACTTTGTGAAGCAGACACTGTACGATGAATTTTTTTCACCAACCTTAAAGCTGTATATTTTATGATGAAGCGCAGTTGTAGACTACATCAATTTCAACTGCGTAACCTTTTATTCATTCTAAGGGTGTGAAACTGTGGGCGTGATGAGAATATGCTTGAAGGCAACTCTATTTCCTCTAAATACTCTTAAAGGAGGATTTTTGAAACTTTGCTTCTGTATGTCATTTCTTGAATGAACAGAGGAAGTTGAACGCGATGGACATGCGCACGTACTACAACCAGACAAAATATTTTACGATAAAATATTACCATCTTTTGCGAGTCAGAACAATAAACTCACGATTTATCGAAAAGTGCGACCTTTCTATGCTATTTACTTTTTGCCTTTAAGTTTGGGGGTAATTAGGTATTATCGACTGAGTTGATAACGCTTTGACGAAGGGCTAACGCTCGAAACGTCAACTTTGAAACTCTTAACGGTGGCCAGTTTACGTTATCAACTCAGCTGATGATACTTTATTTCCCTGTTATACTCTCTAACCGACACATGCACCACAGTTTCTTTAGAAACGTACTCACTTCAATTATTTCTGAGCACATTGATTAAATGCTCTGTTTACTGTTGTATGGCAAACCGAAGTTATCATGTGCAATTAAATCGGAGTGAAGTAGACGTAATACTTAAGACTCAAGAAAGGAGTGTTATGTTCCCTGGGGATTCCCGTTAGGTCAATGATGAGGTTGCACAATTTCAATGGGCAACGGAAACCTCAAACTCCTTTAAAAGAGTGAAATGTGTCATTAAAAGCACGCTACACTTGCATTAACCGGATAAAGAATTAAAAAGACAAAATTCTAGAGAGCTGCCCTATTTGGATCCTTTTATTTGTTTCATTTTTGCAGAACAATGTAAACTCACTATAAATAACGAAAAAACAGCTAATTATAATGGTAACGGATTCCGATTAATTAATGTTATGTGTAGCCAACCATGAAAGTGTAATGTCTAGTAAATATATATTCTTGAGTGGAAACATTAAGATAATTTGCATGGAATGATCAGAAATCAATTGCTAATCGATGCAAGTCTTACTCAAGCTGCGTAATGATAACTCCGATTTTTTAACGGTTTGAATTTCATAGAAAGACTTACTTATGAAAGTTTTGAAATAAGCCGCGTAACGATCAGTTTCATGCACCTTACCTTTCTAAATTTTTGCTTTGCTTATTTTAACAATTACATCAACCTTTCAAAACTGTGTAATTTTGTTGCTTTCAGTGACGCGGAAACATTCCATTAAAATGTTCTGGCTTCGGGTACTTCCAAATTCTTATAGATATATATATATATATATAAAAAGATTCAAGACCTGTTGCTACAGGATCTGTCTAGTCACGCTGACTGTTACGCTGATGTACCCCGAAGATGATGACTGTACATCTTTTGAAGATCACCTGAGGGCTTACAGTAAAATGACTCACGCTTTCATTTTATAATTATGAGTGAGATTCGCAGTAAATTGTGATCCTCACCTTGAATCGCCTGTGATCTTTCTTATGCAATCATAGCCTGATTTTGATGGAATATTTGATTCCTTAATGAACTCATACAGTTTAATGTGATGAAATCAATTTTTAAGTTCACCTGTATTTATCATATCCAGAAAATAAACCGCTGTGTAAGTTAGTTTCCGCCGCGTTCACTGACGTGGTTTCGATGAATATTTTCTGACCTGAAACTCTTAATTGTCCATTTATCGCAGGCGTTCCAGGCTCACGAT